GTGCTTTGTGACCACCTAGAGGGGTGGGATAGGGAGGGTGGGAGGGAGGGAGACGCAAGAGGGAAGAGATATGGGAACATATGTATATGTATAACTGATTCACTTTGTTATAAAGCAGAAACTCTAGCACACCTGTAAAGCAATTATACTCCAATAAAGGTGTGAAAATAAAAAAAGAGACCTCATGAGACCTTAACAAAAATATGTCCACCAGCTGGGCCACACCAGCTCCCGCCCGTAGTGTCGTAGGCACCAGTCTCCCCTGGGAGTCGAATGGGATGGGGTTGGGGGTCCACAGGACTTAGCAAAACACCTGCTTCTCAGCATGAGGCTGTCTTTAAACAATCTACCTTCCAGGTAGGAGGAGAGAGACCACCCACCTCTCCAAAACCTCCCCTGGTGATGGGAGAGCAGCGTGTGGAACTGGTGCATTTCAAGGGTCCACACGGAACTCTGGTCAGAGTCATCAGGGAGCGCTCACGGACGGCGCCCTTGGCTGAGAACAGCAAACCCAAAGCTCACAAGCGGAAATGACGCTTCAAACTACATCCTGACCTCAGTGAAGGGAGCAGCTTATTCACTACTCAGATCCTTGGCCAGAGGGGAAGTGCTTGGGTTGGGGGGCAGTGCTCAGGACCCCATGGCAGTGCCAGCTGTAGCGCTGGTGCACGGGTGGCTGGGTAGAGCCTTTCTGCTACTTAGAGGAGAGGTCTGGCGCACAGGAGGATTTGCTTCTAGCCGTTAAGCAGATGACACTTGGAACTGCAGGTTTGTTATTGGTCAGAATGTGATTCTCCCCCAACCCCCCCCCCTTTTTTTTTTTTTTTATCATTGAGCCAAGGGAGATTCCTGCAGGCCCATAGTTGGAGAAATAATCAGGGTGGGGCCCCCTCACCTATCTCTATCTCTCTTGGCATCTTCTCAGCTCTGGCTCCTGAGTACGTGTGTACATTGCACATTTTCTGCAGACCTTCAGTACACAAAGACTCCTCCTTTCACATACACAGCTCGTCAGACCTGCCAGCAGTACAAGGTTCTATTCAGATTTAGACTGAGGAAAAGCTGCCTTCAGTAGATCCTAGTTTGAAGGACAAATAGGACTGGGTACACCCCACAAGCTATCAGTGCTGTTCCCAGAAGTCTGGCCCCCATGTCCCCACCCTCTCCCTGCATCCGTTCCAGGAGAACTGAGATGAATACAATCTCAGAGAGCAGTTTCTCCCTAAGTCCCTTGAACAGAAACCAGCCCCAGGCCGAGGCAAGGTCTGGGAAGTCTGATGATGACCTTGGCATCTAACATACTGAGCAGTCACCATGCCGTGGCATCATTTAAAGAAATCGCCACACCCTAGTTCATTTAAGGCTGCCAGCGGCCCATTTTACAGATGAGAAAACTGAAGCACAGAGAGGTTCAGTAACTTGCAGAAGCTCACACAGGGGAGCAGGGCTGGGATTCCAAACCCAGCAGTCTGCCTATGCTTTTGCTGTCTCTCAGGAGGCCGGGCGATGT